ATATATATATATATATATATATAATAGCTAGTTAAAGATAGGTTTAATATCCTATTTTATCTCCAGTTTCGCTCCAAAATGTCAAATTAGTTTATCTTTTAAAAAAATGCGTCAATTACCTCTTCATTTAATAAAATTTGCATCAATTAAATCCATTCCGTTAAATCCGTACAAACGACGTTAATTATTTTTTTCTTTCTTCTGCTTTTTCTGCTTTTTCTGGTTTTTCTGGGCAAGCAGCAGCTTTTTTTCTCTCTTATGATATTCTTCTTCTCAGTGCTAAATTCCAAGCATTAAATTTTGAACTTTCATCAACCTTTTAATTCTGATTGTTAGCAGACATAATAATACTAATAAACTAAATTGTTATGTTTATCTTCCCTATTGTGTTTACTCTGCAAACGACCCTCTATCTTCCCTGTTATGTTTATCTTCCCAGAAAGTGTTGTCAGCAAATTTGTTTATTGGGCCACCAACTCATGGATTTTCTTCTCTATTTTTATTCAGCGTCATATGTAGATAGAATAATAAAAGATATACATCCATCTGTCTGGTGTATAGATGAATTGAAGTGTCATCTTGGTACCCAAGCATGAGTTGAAGAATTAATTACACTAAATGCATTCCCCCCCTCTTGTTCGTAAAAAAAAAAATACTTTTTTCATCATAACTCTTATTTTTAAGATTGAATCTTTGTGGAATTACTAGGTATGCCAGAATTAAGTTTGTTCTACTTCCTCGTATTTCTGAACGAATCTTTCAGGATTTTTTTCGTAAGTTAGTTTGTTAATCTTGGAGAAAAATATCCACAACCTCCCCGCCCCGTCTCCCAGACTTTTTTTATGTACAACATTTAAATTTTATTTACTTGGTGTGCTTACATTGTTTGTGATTTACTTGCTCTCCTTCAGTGTATTTTATATATTAACAAAATAAGTTGTTTCATGTTCTGTAGTTGATGAGCATGATGATGGAAAAGGAATGCATATAGTTGTTGTGGTTTTGCTGAGTGCTTTGGTCTCAATTATACTGATTCTTGGAGTGGTGGGTGCATACAAGTTTTGGGAAAAGAAGATTAGGGAACAGGACCAGGCTCAGCTTTTGAAGTTATTTGAAGATGATGATGAAATTGGGGACGAGCTGGGCCTTGGTACAGTAATATGAAATAACGATAGCAAACAAACTTCGTCGTGCACCATTATACGTCCACCGCAATTTTCTTTACGAAACGACGAAGAAAGAATAGCAGAACAATTAAGCATATGATGTCAGAACAATTCTTATAATTGGTAGAAGAGAGAGCAGAAGAATAGCAGAAGAGAGAAAAAAAACTGCTGCTTGCACAGAAAAAGCAGAAAAAGCAGAAGAAAGAGAAAAATAATTAACGCCGTTTGTACGGATTTAACAGAAGGGATTTAATTGATGCAAATTTTATTAAGTGAGGAGGTAATTGACGTATTTTTTAAAGGATGGACTAATTTGACATTTTCGAACGAAACTGGGGACAAAATAGAGTATTAAAGCTTAAAGATACTAAACATATATAGCTTCTACATCTAAAACATGTTTCAGAGAAACCTTATCACTCTCTGTTCACACCTATTGAATGATCATAGACAACAAAGAAGCAAAGAAAGATATAAGAATAATCACAAATAAAAGGATAAGCTACATACAAATAATTAATCATAGACTTAAAACATTTCATACATAAATCAAATGTAATATAAATCAAACCAAACATTTTAACATGCAATGACTTAGACTGGATAGTCCAGACTTAGAATGAATGTCGAACTATGGCGGGTTGTGCACTTGTGCTGACCTCTACTACTTTGCGAAGCCATTGCTAAATGAGTTTTGTCCTATTACCCTCAGTACGCTAGTCTGTAACGCGTCGTAGGTCATACTGGAAGCACCTAGACTAAGACATTCTGCTACTCTCACCACATGTGTCAATCTTCTCTACTTGAGAATGAGAGACCATTAGAGTGTTAGGATAACCCCCAAGACTGAGTTCCTTACATTCATACTAATGATACTTGAAATCAATACCAAGAAGTTCCACCTTGGAACTCATTTCCATACCTTTTCCATGCTATAAACAAGTAAACTTAACACTGCATACATCACCATAAACATGATAAACTATCACAGATGTATCGAAGAAACTAAAACATTGCATTATAAAACACAGAATAGATCAATTCTAAAAACTCAAATTCTAACTGAGGAGCACTCAAGCGTTAGATCCCTAGAACAGGGGCGTCTAGGGGGTGTTTGAGGGTGCTCAAGCGAGTTCCTCTCGCAAAAAAGGCGTCTGGGCATGATCCTCTCAGTAAAAGGCTGCTTAGGGGGCGCTTGGAGGGCACCCAGCGCTGCACCAGGTTATAAAACACTCCTATATTGACTTTGGTTACACTTTATACAAGTTTGAATGGTTCTTACAACACCATTGGCACTCATAAACCTCATAAAACACACTTCTAAGTCAAATTGACCAGTCCAAACACAAACTACCCATTCTAGACTACCTAACTCACTTCTACCGTTTCTTACACCAAATTTCAGCAAACCAAAGATTTAGACAAGTCCTAAATGACTCAAATACATACCCAAAACTCCTTAAATTTGTCCAAACTCCTTACTTCAAAATTTCCCTAGCTAAACCTCCCATTTTGCACTAAAACCACTCAAACACTAACCATGGGCCACCCTTTTTGGTTCCTTTTGGAAGTCTTATATCGACTAGAGATAAGGCCAATTTAGAGTATATAAGTGGAGTTCAAACCTCACCTTACAAGTCGGTTTTGTAGAGTTGAGTTAGGCTTAAAGTCCACTTCTTAACATGGTATTAGAGTCAAATTAGAGCCTATCCTAACGATATTTGTTGTTTGTTTGGTATATTGTTTCACCTACTATCGGGCCATTATCAAACCACCCATTAATGTCTAGTCTCACGCTCGAGATGTACATACCTTGGCATGATGGGAGGGTGTTGAAAGTCTCACATCGACTAAAGATAAGGTCAATTTATAGTATATAAGTGGGGTACAAACCTCACCTTACAAGCCGATTTTGTAGGATTGAGTTAGACTTAAAGTCCACTTCTTAATAGTTCTAGATCAGTTTCCGCCCAACACATACTTCTACTAGATCTTAATGGATCCCATAACAGACCTGAAAAACCAGATTCACCAAACCAACATTTTTCTCACCAACTTAACAATTAAAACCCCCTTTTTAGTTACTAAAATCATAACTTTGACCACTCCTCACTTCACGAACATTTCAGTCAACTACAAACATCAATACAATTCAATGGCATGCATTTAATGACAATATTAACAACCAAATTTCATCATATCAGATTTCAACCATACCATACCAAAGCATATACATTTCATTGAACGAATATGTCATAAACATTGAAATTATTACTCTATCAAGTTAATACACATACAACAACGAAACTTACAAAACAATATCAATTTAGACATAAACATTCAGCTTCCCTTACCTCACAAGAAACTATCAAGCTCTAAGAACGTTGTCTCAATTTCTTGAAACGACAGAAATTTCTAGAAATACCTATAAAACATCGAATTGAGAACAGAAAGAGTCCTTAGGACCTCAAAATACTATAGATCAAGGAAAAGAAACAAAAAGGCACATGAGACAATGAATCACTTCACTGAATTTCAATTTAGAATCGAAAGAGAAATTTACTTGCTCTATGTCAGAAATTGATAGATAGAAGTGGAGAACTCAATTGTGGTTTCCTAGGAACTTCCTGATCAAGGAGTGAGAAATCTTAGAGAGAAGAAAAAAGAAGTTAAGAGAAAGAGGTTTAAAAAGATAGTTTCTGTTTTAAGTAATGAAATAAGTTTAAGAAATTTTATTTATTTTATTGAATTATTTTAACTTTAAAACATTTGGTCTCGTTATTTTAAAACACATATCTACTCTAATACTTTGTTTCTAATACTCTATAGGTTTTTATATCAAACACTATCATATCTCTCACAACTTGTCAGGACATTGTTAACAGCACCGATTACCGAATACACCAGCTACACCTAACATGTGAAATGGATGCATAAGAATATTATGCTCAGCCTGAAATACAATCATAAAATTGAAAGTACCAGAAATTTCTAGAGGCATACCATCCGAAAAGCTTCCTTGACCAATAGGATAGATCAGGAGAGTTGTCGTTCTATGCTTCGTCGTTTTGCATGTGAGAGAATAGCAATGCCACAACACCTGCGACGATTCTCCATAATCGTCGACGAGGGTTGCCACCATCATGGCCACAACTCATGATTGAGATCGTCACTAACGTTAGTTTTTTCTTCTCCTAAAATATGTTGGTTTTATTCCCCATTCCAACGCCCAAATCAGAAGCTACTGTATTGAAAGAGGTGAAAGGAGTGAGAAGCTGCTGTATTGAAAGAGGTGAAAGGAGTGAGGGAGGTGGGCAGAGAAAAAAATGTCATGTAGGTTTTTGCCTAGTCAAAAGGGTATTTTATTTTTGCCATTACGAAAAACTTGGGGTGTAGAAGAAAAACAATGGGGTGCAAGAAGAAGCCCCGTCATAGCATCTTATTTTAGAAAGTTGGTAATGATTAGGCTTATAGAAAATATCATTTGACAAAAATAGTCAGTGATGAATTTTAGTGAATATAAATAATAACTTTTAAGTATCAATACTTTATATGAAATTTGTTATAATGTATTAAATATTATATATTTATGTATCTTTCTTTATTAAGCATGGTGATATATACATACATATACATATATATATATATATATATATATATATATATATATATATATATATACAAATTATGTCATCTTCATGTTATCACACACACTGATACCACTGCCAAAGCTCAACTATGTAAGATTTGTTTCACCTTTCGGAAGGCATCAAAGTCTGATTGGTTCTAGCAAGACAATCCATAAATTAAGCCTTAAAGCCATCAACACATGTATGCATAAACTATGTATGGTGCACTAAATTACAACATTTATCATAGAACAAAATTTGCAGCTTGAAGTGATTGAGCCTCTATACCACATCCAGCTAGAGCAAATAATTTATACTTCTAAACTCCATATGAAAAATATTTTACTCATCTGCACCCAAGTCAGCATCACTGTCAGGATAAATCTCAGGAATAGCTTCGCTGCTCCTTGGTTTCTGTTCATCTCTTTTATTCCTCTCAGCTTCTTTCTCCCTCTCCACAATTCGAGCCTTAGCTTGTTCAAGTCTTGAGCTGACCGAATCCCAAGATACAAGCTTATCCATGAACACTGATATATAATCAGAGCGCTGGTTCTACAAAGATAACGAAGCAGTCAAAGACTATTGAGAAGAATTATCAAATATAGTAATCACAGTGTAATTCTCTGAACTAAAATCTTACCTGAAAATCAATGTAGTAAGCATGCTGAATAAAAGAGAAATATTATTACAAAGTCAGCAAACTTTTTACCAAAGAAATGAAATGATAATTTTAATGTCCTCAAATCCAGTAAAACCAAGTAAACTAGATTAGTACCTCCCAGACATCAATGGTAAGGAGTGGCTGCAAGAAATTAACAGTGAATCTTGTCAGACATTGTAACCATGATGCTGAGGCCTTACCTTAGCATTCATGTTTTAATATATAAAATGAATTTTGGATATTATAGCTCATCCTTATAACTTACATGATAGTAGTTCCAAACAAGAGGGTTCACAGCATTGGGAGTCTTCACCACAACCAGCTTCTTGTCCTCGTCAGATGGAAGAGGATTCACAGCATTTCCCACATCAAGTTTGCTTTCTTTATCTATATATGAAAAGTAAAATGAAAAGGCCACTTGCTAGGTTAGATATACCAAGAAAATTAAAAAGGAATGCCAGAAAATCAGAGAGTATGATCAGAAGGGTATTTTACTCACAGGCAAGCCATGCCCATCCTGAACCAAATTGTGTTGAAGCAGTAGTCTTGAACTCGTCAAGGAAGTTTTCAAACGAACCAAAGTCTCTTTTAATCAGCTTTAGAAGATCCCCAGATGGCTTTCCACCACCGCCGGGTTTCATGGACTCCCAGAAGAAGTCATGGTTCCATGCCTGCAAAAAGTTGAACATGATTTCTATGCAATGGTTTAGAAAAATAGATAAGACTTCATGATTACAAGAATGCATGCCTGTGCTGCATTGTTGAAAGCCGGAAGAAAGTCACCCTTATTGTATGAAATAACTACAACGTTCTCTAGTGACTTCTCGTCTAGATCCGTTCCATCGATTTGCCTGTTCAGATTATCTACATAAGTCCTGTGATGCTTCCCCCAATGATATTCGAGTGTCTCCTGACTCATAATAGGCTCCAAACCATTCTGAGAGTTTTCATTATGACAGTATTGGTAAAAATATGTAATATCAGTCCAGCATAAACATAAAAATCTCCACAAGTACAAGACATATGGTAGGTCATTGCAAAAACTACATGAAACTCTTGTGGAACTGTTTAATCAGTTCAGTGTAACTGATGTGCTGCACAGAAAGAAATTAAATGGCTAGTTATAATAAACTGAAGTCTGCCCAATAGAGTGATGGTGATTATAATAATTCAAGTCAATGCGATATTAACTTCAAGAAAAAGATAAAGCCAGGACAAATCTAATTTTATGGCAATTGCTACGTTTCATTTGAAGCACAGTTCCCCTTAAAAGTTTGCCAACTTGAAGTAGAAGTTTGCCAACATGCTTCATTGGGAGAAGCACACCACTAAAGCAAGCCATTGTAGCTGGTGAGTCCAAAGCCTTATACACCACACACCAAAATCTCATTTCCAAGGTGAATTTCAAGTCCTCTTGCAATTGGATAATAAATGGAGTAATGGACAAACTCTGATCTTACCAGCGGATATGGTGGTGGTTTCAGCTCAAACTTTGCAGTGATTTTAATACGTCCAGCTTTCCTTATACATCTACTCTGCAGCATTGAACATATTTTCATAAAATTAAAGGCCAATAAAACAATATTCATCTTACATTTGTTTTCTTTTAAAATAGGCAAATTTTTAAACAGGACATGCTTTTCCAGCCAGAAAATTTAAGTGAAAAGTCCAACATGATCAGACAAACACCCCAAATCATAAAATGTAGTGGTAATCCATAAAAAGGTTGTATTGGCCATAAAGTTCGAGCATTTATTGCTGAATTGAAGTTCAGTGTTTGTTTACCAATTTCGTTCACATATTTTCCATAACTCGGTTTTCTAATAGATCAACTTACACATTTCAGCCGATTTTACCTCAATAGGCCTGGAAGTTTTCTCTTTATTTATAGACTTTTTCTGGTCTCTAGATTTGAAGTGTTCTTCTCACAACATAATATCTATATGACATAAAAGGATACCAAGCAACAGGTGATAACAGATTTGAGTTTCGCATAAACAGATTTATGCAAGGGATTCCAGAGACCCGGTAAAGCACACTTGGTGACAGTAAGAAACAAACATCTAGCATCAGACATTTCATATTTTCCTACATTCGGGGATCGAAATGAATATGTATTTGTGCTTGAGAGCTATTAATATAAATTCTGCAATACAACGATTGAGAAATGCTATTACCACTGGGAAAAAAGGCCAATATCCTCTTTCAAATGCTAAAACTAAATATATTATGCAGTACAGGTTTAAGAAACTAAGAGAATGTCATTGTATTGAACATGTTCTTTTTGGTTCCTATAGCCCCACAGCATAATATTTACAGGAGAAATACTAGGAACACATTCTCCGTCACATTCTGCACACTCGTAATTTTATAGTTTTCAATCAATTTTAGTCAATTGCAGAATGAACAAAGTGTTATACTTAAAAATCTTGAGTATTCCAAAATTTTGAAAGTTCCAAAAGGTAACAAATACTATATTGCTTAGTATTCTCACTTTCAAAGAGTTTGCATATGAAGACTTTCCATATACTTTCAAAGTGGATAACAAAGGTAGTGGGTCTTGCGTGATTGAAGTTGTGGACATCCTAGAAGTTCCTATTGTACAACAAACAGCCTAATCGTAAGCCTCCTCTTGTGCACAGAAATAAAGGGTTCTCTACTTTCGACTTGTTTACGAGAGCCCAACCAAAAGGGCACTCTAGCAAGGAAGAACTCTTATTTGAATTGCTTTCAATACGGATTCCATTGGTAAATACAGCAAGCAAGAGCAAAAGACACATGATAATAAACAATCAACGAATACTATTACAAAAAAACTCAGATAAAAAAGTGTTTGATCCTTCATGAATTTAAAATTTTGAGTTCTAGTCCCTCTGAAAGTTTTTGCGAATTTTAAATCCACTTTTATTGCTTATAACCAGTACCAGACAAAAATGGAACAAAAGGCTAAACCTTAAGTAACTAAGAGCGATAAAAATATGAGGAACTGAAAATAGGGAACAAGTAAAAATCTGAACTGGATGAGAGAACAAAAACTTATTCATCCCAAAAGAAAAAAAAAAGAATATTTCTTAAAATGGTAAAATTGTGCGTTGGAAATGGAAATGGGTGACACGTAATGGTTCGAAAGCAAACCTCTTTCTTCCACAATTTGAAGGTACCCAAAGAGAACCCTGCTAGCCAAACGAGAAACCCATGTAAGAGAGAGAAAGAGAGAGAGAGAGAGAGAGAGAGAGAGAGAGAGAGAGAGAGAGAGAGAAGAGAGAGAAAGGTGGAACCTTGAGTTTGGCGAGGAAGAAAAGCCGAAGTGGAAGGGGTGGAAAGGCAATTCATCTCTTCTGCCTCTGCTTCTCACTGAACTGTTTCAAAATATTTTGGCTCTCCTAATCTTCTTGTCTGTAACACAACTACAGTATAAGACAAGACACTGGAATACATGGTACAAACCTCGTTTCTACTTTTCTTATACTTGAGTTTTACCTCTTTATTCAAATTCACTTTTCTACTTTGTTATCAATATTTTCATTTTTTTTATTTACTTTAATCTCATACTGAAGCTTTGTTTTGACTGGATATTCTTCTGAAGAAAAAGGAAAGAAAAGAGATAAGGAGGGTATAATAAAAAGAGAAATATAATAAAAAAATTATAGGTTTATGATTTTAGGTTTCTGAAATTTAAATAATTCTGATTTTGGTATTTAAATTAAAAAATAATAATTTAGTTCATGATTCTTTTTCTAAACACTAAATTTAAGAAATTAAAATGAACTTTTTTTATTTCTAAATATAAAGTATTACTTTTCAAAAAAATTATGTTATTTTTTATTTTAAAACAAAACTAATGAAAAGAAAAAGAAAATTGTTTCTCTTTCATTTCATTTCAAATTGTGGAAAAACAACTTTTATTGAGTTAGACATTACCCCTTCTTAAATCTAATATTTTTATTTTTTCTATTTATTATCACTTTATTTCTACCAAAACAAAGAAAAAGTATTACTGGAAATAGGAGGAAAATACTATTCAATAAGAAACAAAACTGATGTCCATATATGACTATTATTATATATAACTTGATTTTGTTTAATTTTATATTTGTACCTATAAATTGTACAAAAACACATCATGCTCTAAAAACATTGGTTATTGTGGTTGATACTGAGGGACGGATGAATTGTATTAAAATAATAATGAAAGTATTTGCGTGATTAGTCTTCATTTTGGAGGGGGTTGTGAATTTGTTTCATCATAAATTTACTTATCTATCTCTCTAAACAGTAGACAATGGATCTTGTTAGATTTTAACATTAAGATCACACTTCCAAAGATTAGTTTTTCGCTTATTGTTTAAGATATATTTCGCAGATTCCATGTCCAAATTGCATACTTTTTCACACAAATTAATAGGGTCATAAATCATTGTGTTCGATCCTTAGTTGAACCCTGAATATTCTTACCAAACAAAAATAGATATGACACTACAGACATGATGAGTAAAGAATTAATAGATTTAATCAAATAACACAAATTAGTGGTAATTCTATGTAGAAGAAAATATCATGGTAAATTGTTTTATGGTGCTCAAGAGGTCTTTATGCCCAAACCCTTTTCCTCGGGGCAAGATCTGATGTCTTTATTTCGTCTATCTTTGCAGCAACAATAAAATCATTCATACTTAAACCTCCTGCAAAATTTTGAACCATTTCAATATCATGTTACAAGATGAGAATACATTGACATATTTAAGGATGTGAGAACAACATCTCTTGATCATATAAAAACAATAATATGAACAGTTTACAAGAGATTTTAGGTTTAAACCTCAGCTACATCATTGTATAAAAAATGCATAATTATCAAGATTAGAAATTCGCAGTCATATAAATACTTAAATGATCAATATTTACTATTCTCATTTGAGTGCCTCCCAGAAATGAGCAACTCATATACACACATTGGTACCTACTAGATGATGTTCCCTGAGAGGGTTTTGAGTCCTCTACCAGGAACTTGCAGCTAGTAACTAAAACAAGTGCTTAGTAGAATGAAAGCAGCAACTGATTATATAGGAATTTTGATGAAATACAACTAAAATTAAAATATCCTATGGTATTGAATGTGATCAACAAGAAGGGTGGTTCGAGTTCATTGCTTACCAATGGAAGCTGTCCATAGTTCTGCCCTGACTTGATTTGGTTGTTCCAAGTAGATATTAGGGAAATGGCCTGCAGCCTCAACAACCTTAGAGATCCTGTTAATTAGTTCAACTCCACATTTAAAATCTCTCAATTTCCACAAGCACTGAAGTTTATGTCTACCTTCCTCATTCACAAGTCTCCAACCCACAACCTACAAAAATGAAGAGAAAATAAGTCCTGGGAAGGAGGAAAAAGTACAAAAGGACCATCACACAGGTATCCATTTTTCTTTCTTCAAAAGACAAGTTTACAACAGGTAAAATACTAAGTTTTAAAGTCCTCTTACCGACATGCAAATCAGTATTTAATTGCAGCTAAAGCAATCCACAACTAAATGTTAAACCACTGAAAATGTTAATTGCAGCTAAAGCAATCCACAAGAAATATGCATCACCTCACTTTCTAAATCAAAATTCTGAATGTCAAACCACTGTAAACAACATGAAAGCGATATTTTTGCAACTGTGTTTCAAGTAAATAAACATAACTAAATGTACTACAATAACATGGTCAGATTTTAAAACTCCTGAGGCGGAAAATTAACAAACACTCACCATAAAAATGCAACTATCTGCTGCTTCAACATTACGCATAATTCCATTGCACAGTTATCATTGGACTATACTAACTTGTGCTGACTCAATCAAAAGTTTTCAAAATCAGATTACACATATGATGCTTCTCTGTACAGAACCAGATTACAGTACAGAACCAAACTAAAAAATCCACATTTTCAGAGTCTAAAAACATGTGAACCTTCCCAAACATGCAATAGAATCAACAACAATGTCATCTGGAACCAAAAAGTCAATCATCTTGTTTCAACTCTAAAGACTAAACGGATAACCAATCATCTCTTTAATAGGACAATAGGTAGAGTGTACACACTAACATAACTTGAATCTGTTTGGATAAATTTCATGTAAAAAAAGTAAAAAGAAAAATAAAATAAGTTTATTATTCTAGAACTAAATTTCGTTTATATATATATATCAATAAATATATTATTTTTATATTTATTTTTAGTTAATTTAATATTATTTCTTATTTATATTTTGAAATTAGTCCATATTTCTTCTTTTGAGAAGACACTAAGTATATAATTTTCTTTATATTCAATGTCAACCGTTCCCATATCAATCTTACACAACCTAATTTTTTTATTTAATATCTAAAGTGTTTCTCTATAAAAACAGTAGAAAAGAAAGAAAAATAAGTTTATCTACAACTTAAAAACAAATTACGAATTAAAACATTTTTATCTAATTTTTCTAAATAAAAAAATCTTGCAACTGCTGGAGGGTACATTTCAAATTGTCTCTGGCAGCAGGTACTAGCAGGTGGATCATGTTACACAGAATCATGCTACGTTTTCAAGAAAAAGAAAAGTTACAGCCATAGATTTTTATTACAAAAACACTAATCCAACAGTTAGTATCACAATTGAGAAAAAAACTGAGATAGTTAGAAACTTGTTTTCTTATTTAAAATTCCTTATCAGTTTGCCAACAAATACCTAGTGATTCATTTCATTTTAGCAGAAACTAACTTCATTTTTTGTATGAATTCTATCCCGTGATTATCAAGTAATCTCTTCGAAATTATGAGTGATGAGATGTAGCTGCTACCTTTCTGACGAGCATCTGAGCGTCCTGTTCTGAGATGGGGGGTTGCAAAGGGGAAATGGGAGCACAGTCCTGCTGCGCGAGAGAGAGAGCAGAGATATTGGGGATGAGGATTCTGTGTTCGGTGCTGCCGTATCCCAGCACCTTCTCTCCGAAGGAGCTCTCCAATTCCGCCGGAAAAGGGTCCCTGGCACCGAAGTCCCCCAGGAACTGGTTCGTGTCGATGGCGCGCGTCACCACCAGCGACGCCGCCCGGTTTCCGCGGCGACTCAGTGACGGGGCGCGTGTGGGCCACGTGACAGCCTTGGGGTGTTTGCGAAGAAAGACATGGTTAAGGTTGAGATTAAGGTTAAGGTTGGATGCGGTGGCCATCTAAAAGAAGAACACAGTGTATGATGTTTAGTAGAGAAGGAATTGAAATGGAGTAAGGTGGAGAGTGTGTGGCCTTGTGAAGAAGTGCAATATATTATATTATCTAGTGGTGGAGAGAACTCTGAAGTCATTTTTTTTTCCTTTTATTTCTAAATTAAAAATTTTTGTTGGCTTATATCAGTGGTTGGGATAAATTTTTCATTCAATCCAAATCTATGTTTTCAGATTTTACATATTTGTTTGGACAAGCTTAATTTCAGTCTAAAGATATCACCATTATAAATTGTATTTTAATCTGTTATTAATGTTTTGTCATATATAACATTGACGCAAAACAAAGTGGAAACATAAACTGTAAAATATAGTTATTCCTACTGAAACTCAAACATAAAGATTTTAACCGTAAAAAGGTCACCAAAACTACAAGATTAAATAAATAATTATATTTTATTTAAATTCGAGTAAACTCATTCGTAATAATATAACCACATAATTTTATAAGAAAAGTTAATATACATAATTAAAATGATATGATAAAATAATTAAATTAACTATTTTTCATTAAAAATATTAAATAATATTTGTAAAAACTTTCTACTGGTCTTTTTATCATATATATATATATTATATATATTATATATATTATATATATATATATATATTATATATATTATATATATATATATAGATATAGATAGATATAGATAGATAGATTGATAGATAAAAAGCACGTAAAAATTTTCAAGGTTCAATCATTTCTACTTATTGTCATCGAAACTGTAACATCGTTTCTACATATCGTAATAACAATTATTACAAAAGAATTAAAATACAAAAACACCGCAAAAAAATAATAATATAAAACTAATTAATATGAACATACATAAATAGTTTCATTTCAATCTCAGTCAACTAAAATGAGCAATACAGAATCATGTCATCACATTATTTAGAGACAAATAATCGATAATAACACTAAATTCAATATCTAGATTTATGCAATATAACCTTCAAATTAATAAATGATACGATATGAAGGACGACCAAATTTTCGAGGTCACACAGTCTTTTTTTTTTTTTTACAAAATTAGTTCTCTATAACTTAATAAAAAATAGGTCATTGACCTGCTTGACCCGTTATAAGAATTTCTTTTACTCTTTACCACCTAGATTCTATCATTTATACCGTACATTTTCTTCTTAGGAAGAATATGGTAATATGCAACAAAAACATAACATACAAAGCAATATATCACATCCCTGTATATTGAAATAACTTTCTTGAAATCTTTCAGATTTTTTTATCCTCCTTGTTCATATATTCATAACACATATCTACAAAATATACAAAATTATTTCATTACATTGACAAACTTTACACTTCATATCACATATATTTATTATTTCTAAAATACACACTTTTATATTCAAATCAACCAAGACTAAGAGCACATAACGACTTTCTAACCCATTAAGTATAAATGTTCTTCATGAAAAAGAAACCTAAAACAAAACAATCATAAGAGATAAACTTTACTAGCTACAAACCTTAAATTAAATATACTAATGGATAAAATTAAGAATCATATGCCTATAATCTATTGTCAAAATTTTAGTTTGATCTAACTTTTAACAAAACGAAAATCTTAATTTTTGCGACATGACTTGGAGCTAGAAAACCCAACTTGCCCAAGGAGAAAGTCTCCCGTGTCCCTTTGCTAGATTCAAATTTAAAACTTGTCCAACGAGTCTACATAACATATACCACCACATTTTGACAATGCCAAATAAACCAAAAATCAAAACTCATGTTGCACATAAGTCACAAACCACACCAAATTCATGTTGAACAACTTGTTCCAATAAAAAACTATAGCATTCACAAATTCACTCCTCCCTTCACATCTCAATATCAAATTGAACATATAAGCATGACTCTACATTTTACATATTTTACATTTCATATCATTTAAACTCAAAACTTAACAACAAAAAAATCCACACCTTTAGACCACCAAACATATCAATTAGACAAATTCCATCTTCTACATATTACAAAATTATAATTATTAACCCCAATTTCAATTTACACTCGTCAAGATAAATTTTACATTCCAAATTTAACCAATTATAACTATCAAACTCATTTGATTAACCAATCCAACATCTCATATCAATGGACTATTTTAATTATGAAATCACACTTTCAATATCACAATGCAATAATGTAAACACCAACTAGGAGGAAATAAAAATTAATTTGTCACTTTAGCCAAATGACATTTTTCCCAAGAAATTTATAAAACACTAAAACTCACTTAATTTCATAGAGAAACAACAAAAATCCTAACTAGAGTTATGAGTCTATCATTATAAAAATTAATGTTAGTTATTATAAACAACTTAATGTTTTGTTCTTTTGTAGTGATTTAGGGGAGATGATTTGAATGGATTTGAGTGGATTGAGGGTAATTTTTTTGTTATTTTTTTTAGTGGATTTATGGGTAATTGAGAGTGGATTTGGAAGTAAAGTTTGTGAGAATAAGGGTAGCATTTAATTGATGTGACAGATTTAAAAAATTAGTCTAATGGATAAAAATTAAAGATTACCAAAATGCCCCTAGTTATTAAAGTAATATAAAATGATAATTGTTAAGGTTATGTTTAATTGTAAAAATATTTATAAAAAGTAAAAAATTAAAAATAATTAATAAGATTAATTTTTAAAATTTTAAAAAATTATAATTTAGTAAAATGAATTTTTAATTGATGTCTAAAATGAATTTATAATTTAGTAAAATGAATTTATAATAAAATTCATTTTTAAAATCTAAAAATAAAGTGTTATATATATATATATATATATATATATATAATTGATGTCCGAGATTAATTCATTCTTATTTTTATCCTAATTCAATTCAAACTCAAAATTTAATAAATAAAAAAGGTTTAATAGGTTCGTAGGTCCCTATATTTGTGGGTTCGTTTCAGTTGGGTCCTCCAATTTTTAAAGTGATCAATTGGGTCCCTAATTTGGGAAATTTGATTCAATAATAGGATTTCCGTTAAATGTAGTTAACGTACGTTAACTTTGTTTTGAAGTGGAAGCTGAGCATCCAGGTGGCATCCTTCGTGGATTTATATCATTTTCAGA